GACACAGAGGGCCACATGTGCATGCATTTGAATCAGGTGAATGTGAAACAGCATGATTAAGAAATTAAGAAAAAAAATCTCACTGAATTTAAAAATCAAATATATGCCACGCAGATACCAGGGGAAACTGACTCTTACTCAAAATTGGAACCAGGAGAGTTTCCTGTAGAATTCTGACTTGAAATCTACCTTGGAAAGATCATGGAGCGTTCATGCCAAGATGGGGTATCAGGGGTGGGCGCCCAGAGGCTGCTGGACCACAGTGGCCCTTGGATTGCTGCCTGGGGTCCACGCTTTTGAGATAGGGCGTGTGGGCTGTGGGAGGGCGTGGCGACTGGGGGCTTCCCGCAGGGCTCTGGCCAATAGGTGCCCTGGGCTGTCCACCCACAAGCCAGCACTGCGTGGGGTTGCCTGGCTGCCTTCAGCCCTGAGCCAAGAGCAAGTTCTCAGAGCCACATAAACCACCCCTCTGCACGTCTTAAGATGCGTGAAGGTCACAAAGCCCCTCACAGTCAGAAAAGGGCTGGGTGATCAGAGGACAATGCAGGGAGCTTAAATCCCAAAGGGGCCACATCTGTGCCTGGGCAGAGGGCTGCTCCCACCCTGACCTGGAGGTCTCACCTCCACCAGTCTCCCACAGCCAGTCACCCTAACCACCCGTCCCCGGAAAGCCACTCTGCTGCCTGCCCAGCCAGGGAGAGCACTCGGGTGGCGCAGAACTCTTGACCTCGCTGAATTATCATCCAGGAGCAGCCGGGCCTCGCACCCACCCGGCCCTTCTAGTGAGCATATGCCTGCCAAACGCTCCAGGTGCCCAGCTCAGTGCAGGGTCCTGCCTGGACTCTTGCAGCAAGGAGAAGGGCAGCCCAAGGGGTCCTGGAGGCCTCCTTGCCTTCTGTCCTGACTGCACTCCTGAGAGCTGGCCCCCAGTTCTGGCTCCTGGTCTCGTGGGCGGGGAATGAGACCTGCTGGTATTAGGAGGATGGACTCTTCATTCAGAAGCAGGGCCTGACTCTCCCCGCTCCCAGGTTTGGTATGGACTGAAGGTGCCTGTGGTTGGGGTGCAGAGGTGCTGTGGGGGACAGTGTCAGGGCCACACAAAGGGGCCCAGTGCCAGGTCCTATCCAGGCATTACCGTACAGCTTGAAGTCCGTTATTGGCGCCAGAGCAGAGCCACAGGTGAAGGTCTGGCCTTGATTTTCACCCTTGGCCGGGAGGATGTAAGTGCTCAGGTATCCGCCGTAGTCCTGGGAGGGCACGTCAGAGAGAGAAGACAGAAAGGAGAGCTTGCGTCCACCCCGCACCACGGAACCCCTCAGAGGAGGGAATATTTTCACTTTCTTTCTTTTTTTAAAAATAGTTTTAGTTGTAGATGGACCCAATGCCTTTATTTTGTTTATTTATGTGGTGCTGGGGATTGAATCCAGGGCCTCACACATGGTAGGCAAGCACTCCACTTCTGAGCCCCAGCCCCAGCCCCTGGACTTTCTCTTTCTAATAAATGACTTGAAGATTTCTTTGAGGGCAGGAGGAGAGGTGGTCTGCCCTCTCTGGGCTCCGAGCCGAGTGGCACAGCTGTGTGCAGGTGCAGCGGAGATGCTGCTGCTGATCAGGCAGCGCTGGCACGAGGGGCTGGAGCAGGCTGCTCTCCTTCACGCCCCAGTGCAGGCCAGGCCAGGCCAGGGGGAGGACGGAGGGACCAGGACTGCACCCGACAGACACGTGTCCTGTGGGTGGGTTGAGCCCTCAGTTGACCTTGGGCTGTCCCGAAGGGCAGCTCCCCAGGGAAAGATTTACATCACGCCCACAGAGCACCCTCAGAGCTGGTCGCCTGGTGAAGAGCAGAGCCCAGGACACAGATGCGAGCTCTGAGGAGAAAGGCCCAGAGAGCCAGGAGAGGGTCAGGGCTGCAGGCGTGTGTGAGCAGGCCTCAGAGCATGCGTGTGAGTGTGTACACGTATGCACGGGGACGGGTGAGCAAGCATGCGTGTAAGTCTGCGTGACTGGTCTGTCAGTGTGAGTGTGTGAGCGTGTGAGTGTGTGGGCCTGTGCTGGGCTTGGGGCTGTGGCGAGTGGGGGCACCGCAGGCGGGATGGGGAGACCCCCGCTCTCTCCCTGTCTCGGGGGGCACAGGCGTCCCTCCCTGTGTGGAGCAGACCCTCTGCTTGGGGCTGTGTGGCCTGGGTCCTGCACGGCATGATGAGGACACAGAGCCCAGCTGCTCCTGGGCTCACCTGAGTGGACACAGAGGAAACAGGGTCCCAGGAGGTCCCCAAAGGCCAACCTTCAGGGACGGCAGGATACTTCCTTCACAGGCTCTCGAAACCTGTGTCTTAGGTCAAAACAGCCCCAACAACTCCGCCCCTGGAAGGAGCGTGAGCCTCCATGAGGGCAGAGGGCCCAAGAAAGGCCGGCGGGGGCCGCGAGCGTCCGGGCCGGACTCCTGCTGTGGGCTGGGTGAGTGGGCCACATCTACAGGTGCACGGTCCCTTCTCCGCAGTGCCCTGGGTTCCTGCAGGCTGGGCCAGCCATCACTGGGACAGCCCACTGACCACCAGGTGACCCTTGCACCTGCTGTGTCCAGAGCAAAGGTCTCATGGGTGGGATGTCTAGGCAAGGAATGGAGGCCGAGCTCTCCGGCTGTGCATCCACGTGTTGGGGAGAGTGAGGACCATGGAGACTGACCAGCGCCCCAGCTTCGGCCACCAGTTTCTTAGGAAGTGACTTCCAGAGGCAGGTACGTGATGAGAGGTGACCCCTGGGATAGACTCATCGGCCATCCAGCTGGCTCTGGGGCCTCTCAGGCAGGGAGTGGCCTCCATATGCCTAGAGAGCCTCTGAGATAGTCCCAGGCTCTGGTCTGTCCCACAACCAGGAAGGTTGCACGCTCCCTCCCCAGGGCTGGGCGCCATGATTTTGGAGCTGCTTCCCAGATGACCCGCTGTGCCTCCCCCTGCAGTGGGCTTATGGTGGGGCCTCTGTGCACAGCCCCGTGGTCTTCTGGAGATCAAGAGGCCTCGGTCCAGACACAGGGTAGTGGACACATCAGAACCATAGTGTGGCTCTCCAGGCACCCCCAACCCTGGGCCTCTACTGTGGCCTGCCTATACCAGCCACAGCCCTGACCTGAGCCCCCAGGTGGACGCTCCTCTGGTCTGACAGTGAGCCTCCTCCCCCTCCACAAAGCAAAGGTGGAGATAGGAGGACACCCAGAAACAGACTCCCGCTGCCCTCCTTTCCTGGGTCCCACAGCAAAAGCAGGCACAGGCTCCGGAAGAAGATACTGAGGACACAGAGCCCTCCAGCAAGGACCCGGCCGCGCGCTCTCGGCTTTCAGGTCCTGCGAGGAGAAGCACTGGTCATGGATGAGGAATGACGGCTCCCTCTGCTGCAAACACAACGCTGCCAACCTCCTGCTCTTCAAAAATAAGCACTCACTCCCCAGACCCCAGACAACCCCACAGGTCAGGGGAGCCTGGTCCAGACGCAGCAGAGGGGCCTGGACAGGAGACGGCACACTCACCTTCCCGAACACAGCCACCCGCGTTCTGTCGATGTACGGCTCCTTCAGCATGGTCCTGCAAGGTCAAGGAGGAGGGAGGGGACTCAGTGGCCCCAGGGCTGTGCTTTGTGCCCAGTGGCCCACAGACACTTCCCACCATCTCCAGCATGAACACCCCTCTTTGAGGAGTGGTCCTCTGGGGCCAGCAGGGGCCCAAGGAGCCCTGGTTGTGAGCTGCAGGGCTGAGAGTGGACCTCTGAGCTCATCCCACTGTGGTGCCTTTGTCCCCAGATCTTGGAGGAGGTTCCTGTATTGTCCCTTGATGACCAGATACACTCCTTCCTTAAGTTCCCTGCCCTGGCCCTGCTGGGGAGCAACCAGTTGGTGTCCACTCGGACGTCCCAGGGCCTGCTGCCTCCTCACCAGAATCTTCCCACCCTCCCCGCTGTGTCCTCCTGTGTCCTCAAAGTGACTGCAGTCTCTGGTTTCCGGACCCTACTTCTGCATCCGTCCTGCCACCTGCTGGGGGTTCCCGGGATAGCTGGCTGGGTTTCCCTGCCCGCAGAGGCTGCTCTCCAGTTTCTCTCCACTTCTTGGTGTGTTCTGGCTCCTGTTTGTTCCATTCTGCTGGATGGTGCCACCTGCACTCATTACGCCCTCCTCGGCCAGGAGAGGTGTGAAGCTCTGGGTGCTGGGTCCCCGGGGCCCCCTCCTAGGCCTGCCAACTTGCCAAGGACCCCGGGCCCCAGGACGCGGCAGCCGGCCCTGGGTGGAACAGCGTTCTTCTGCTGATGACAGAAGACAAGACAAGTTCTGGGGGGCAGGGTGAGACTGTGCTTGGAGCGCCCAGGGCCACGGGAGGTGACTTCCTTGGCTTCAGCAAAACTGGGGTGACTTTGGCTGTCACGTCACTGTGTAGTGTAGTGGGCTCCCCAGGTTGTTTCTACAACACTGGGACCAAGGCCATTGCCCTCCAGGCCTCGGTTTGAGGACTAGCTGAGCGCAGAACAGGGGGCCTCCTCCTCCTCCTCCTCCTCCTTCCCCTCCTGCTTACTGAGTACCTGCCATTCATCAGGCCCTGGGTCAGTCTTGGGGACAAATGTCACATAACACACAGGTCTTGACTTCCAGAAGCTTCTGCTCCCAGAGTCAGGATCCCTGCCTCCCACTGTGACTCAGCACAGGCGTTGGGGCCTTCAGGCAGGTCCTTAGACTTCAGGGACTCCGTTCTCGGGATAAACTTAACGGGCTCCCAACGTTGAGACACGGGCTCAGTGGAGGCGGGAACAGGGTGGGACCCTGACAGGCCAATTACGTGTGGTCTGCGTTCCAAATGGTGCTGCCCCAGCCTTCCAGAGTCAGGCAGGGCTGGAGGACAGGAGCTGCCCACGACCTGCTCTCTGGCGAGCGTTTACAGAGCGCCCCTCCCTCTCCCGCTGCACCCAGAGTGCTGATGTCATGACCCGCCCCTCAGCTGCTCGTGGGCAGTGGGCAGCGGGGAATGGAGCAGTGGCCACTGGGTTAAGGAATCCAGAGGCAGACACTTGCGGGATGGCTGGCGGGCTGGGAGTGCTGCCTCTGGGTGGGGGAGGGCAGGTGATGGGGGGGCAGGAGCAGGGAGGCAGGATGGCCATGGTGCTGGGCCTCTGTGAGGGCTGCGCTGTGTCCCTGCTAAGACGCACGGAGACCCTGATGCCCAGGAGGCCATATTTGGAAACAGGGTCAATGGTAGATGTACTTAATTTGGGATGAGATCTCCCTGGAGTAGGGTGGGGCCCTAATACAATGTGACTAGAGCCCTTCCAAGAGGAGAGACCCCAGGGAAAGCCATGTGATGTGACGGTGGGACCCAGGGTGATGCACCCACCAGCCACAGGACCTGGGCGCCTGAGATCCGAGAGGCTGGCAGAGGCAGGGAGGACCCTGCTGCCGGCTTCAGAGGCGTGTCCCTTCCACACACGGCTCTGGGGGCCTGGCTTGGAGAATCAGTGCTTTTCCTTTTTAAAAGTAGTGTCCTCCAGATTTGGGACTTGAGACTTGTGCGCGCACACACACACACAATACATGCTCATGCACACGCACACACACACTCCTCTCTCACTCACATTCTCTTGTACACACTCATTCTCATTTACACACACACACTCCTCTCTCACTCACATTCTCTTGTACACACTCACACTCACACACACATACACTCCTCTCTCTCTCACACACACACTCGCACTCACACCCCAGGTCACCACCACTGCACTGCGTGTGTGTGGACACCATCAGTGCAGGGGAAATGCCCTGGGGAGGAGGGCCTCATTCTCCGAATTCCTGAATTTCCCTTCAAGGCCCCGAAGTCTATACACTCTTCAGAAGTCTATCTGGGCAATCTCAGAGTCTGGCATGACCAGCTAATTCAAGAAGGGTCAACCTGGCCCATGAGACTTCTCCCCAGGGCCACATATCCGACCAGGCCACGTGGCTGGGGATCCGTGTGTAGCCTGTGGAGCACGTGATGAACTTGAGTGAGCCCAGGTCCTCTGGAGGACGTGGCCAGGGTCTTGGCTCCTTTCTGATTTGTGAAACTTTCCTTGTTTTATCGTTGTCCATGACCACCTTGGGTCTTTGGTTGGCCTCTCCTCTAATGGCAGGTGGTAGATCCCGCTAACGATGCCCACCTGGAAATGGCCACGTTCTTCCATGGACCAAGGACTCTTGTTATCTTGTAGCGATGATCCCACTAACCAGCTGGGCAGCTGCTGCAGGAAAATTTGCTTGTGGACATGGACCCTGCTGTATGGGAGGCAGGTCCCTGCGTGTGGCGGGCTGCTTACTGCTGGGGGATGTGGGGACCCACTGCCAGGAGCTGATCAGAGCCAGTCGGGCATCTTTCTTGATCCAGCTGGTACTTCGCTCAGTTGCAGGCCTGGGTGGAGGGGTCCAGAGGACCCCAAAACTCGCACCCTCAAGAGGTGTGCTGTGAGCGGGGAGCAGGCCTGAAGCG